TCTTACTTGCTTCACCGATTTTATCGGGATTTTTGTTATTTCCACAGCAACAAAGAAAGTTTCGAACGCTTTTGATAAAAAATCTATGGTACCGCTGTGCGATACCAGTGCTTTGGTTATGGTAACGCATAATGAAATTCAGTATCGCGGCGGTACCGCGATACCGCCAATTTCGGACCCTGATATTAGGAACCGAAGAATAAAAATAAAAATAAAAAATAAAAAAAATCCCTACCTACCTACCCTACTTTTGTTTTCGATGCAATAGGAAACACACCTATTTTTTTGTTTGGCCTTATGCAAACAGTGGGAGGGCAAGCTCAGTGCACAGATCAGGCACTCATATCATAGGCTTCGTGACAAGCATCATGTCCCAACAATAAGGTTTCACGCCACAGCAGTGCAACATTTCGTCACAGTGTAACACGTTGTGACACGGTAACATGTCGTAACACTGTAACATGTGTCACAGTGTAACACGCTGTGACACGGTAACATGTCGTAACACTGTAACATGTCGGGACACTATAACATGATGTCGTGGCAGTGTAACGTGCCAGGACAGTGAGTGTAACACGCTGCTGCAGTATAACATGATGGGAACGTGTAAAATGATGTGACAGTGTAACCTGTCGTGCCAGGGTAACATGTCATGACGGTACAACATGTGATAGTGTAACGTGTCGTTACACTAATAACATGTTGTGACCGTGTCGCACGTCATACCAGTGTAACACGTAGTGCTGGGTGTTCCGTCGGCTTATGCCAACTGTCTTCTGATTGCCGTTGTTCTCCGTCTATCTTTCTCTCCCTCTCTCTCACTAGGTGGTGGATATAATGCGTGTCAACGTTGAGAAAGTGCTAGATCGTGACAACAAGCTGTCTGAACTTGACGACCGAGCAGGTATCGTCGCTGTCGTGTTTGCTTAGCGATGGTTCTGCATGCTGACACTGTTTCTGCGGTGGCGTTGCTCTGCACAATTTTGGTGTTTTAGTACGTTGTGTGGTGGATTGGCGCATACAGAGTACATAGCTTATTCTGTCCAAATTTGGAGAAAAAAAGTTGCTCGTCACCACACCTGATGTGGAAAAAAAGAAGTTTGTTTGTATTTGTTTGGAGCTAAGGAAACGTTCGTCCATAGTTGTACTTCTGTAAATGGTCGTCGCATAGTCAAATGGTGTAGACTGTAGTGGTATGTGCTTGCACGCATGTGGTGTAAAATCCATTGTGTCTTCTACAGGGGTTGCATGATGGTGTTACATACGTTCTTCCGTGTTTGTGGCGTACCTATCATGTGCTGTGGTTGCATTGGCATTGTTACACGTGTCATGTGTTCCACTGAAGTTGCATGGCATCGCTACCGTGGAACACAAGATAGTTGTAACATGTGACATCTGTTGTCAAAGGGCGTTGTTTGACAGATTGGTTATCGAGTAAATTGTCGCTAACAACAACTAACACTCTTACATGTATGTAGGTGCATGCTCTGTGTGCATGTAATGTACTCCGTTCATTTTTACATGCTATATGGATTTCTGCTTGAATAAATTCTCACAGACCTTCGATTCTAATGCTTTGCGTGTGAATCGCGCACATATGTTCGACGCACCCACATCGTCGCGCAAACTGTTACGAATTCAGAGCGTCGGAAGTTAGAAGGCGAGCGTAACGCCAGCCTCCTAGTTTGATGAGCAGCTTCACTGGCACACTCTCAAGTCGCACGCTGCTCCCCTAACTCGTGTCGAATTGATTCGCTGCGGTTTTCTCCAGAATTATTGATCAAGATCGCGCGCGTCAGTGCCACGCCGTTCAGTGCTGTTCCAATACAGTTCCCCCGTCACGCTGTGTGCCGGGTGCGGGCGTTACATTCAACACGTGCGAATCATGTTTCAGATGCGCTACAACAAGGGGCATCACAGTTCGAAGCCAGTGCGGGAAAACTGAAGCGAAAGTACTGGTGGAAGAACTGCAAGGTACGTACACCGTGCGGAGTTTTTAGTCCATAGTTGTTGGGTAGTGCAATGTGCACCGTGCATATGCCTCCCGTATTGGCGGATAAGTTGGGTGTCGTGCCGAACCATCATATCAGGGGTTAATAATGACAAATTTGTCATTAATTACACCTGATCATATGTTTAGAGGTCTGTTGTTTGTGTTTGTGATGTACTGACGCGTTCATTCATTGAGAGGTGCCATCAGCGCAGGGAAGATGCTGCATGCTGTAAAGGCCGCAGCCGTGTAGTTTTAGCCGGACAGCAACGCCAATAACTTAATAAACGATCTATGCGTTTAATGACGATGAGCAACAGGCGAACCTGTTTGCAGCCCATAACACGATGTTAATATGCGTGTGTTGAAAAGAAATTCATGATTTGATGTGCCAGCTGCTGCAGTTGATGCAGGGTTCTACTTATAGATGTCTTTGTAATAGATGTCCATGGTTTGTAGTTTTAATGTACACATTGCCAAGCTGCTTTGTGTGTTCTCATTGACTTGTTGATGTTTATTTTATTGCTTTAACTTGTATTGTTTTAGGCAAATTATTTTTAATTTCGTGGCACCTATAGGTTACAGGAATAATGAGAGTGAATGTGGAAAAGATTATAGAGAGAGATGAGAAATTGTCATCGCTGGATGAGCGGGCAGGTGATAGATTCTTGATTCTATGCAATAGAAGCTACTGAGAACTGTCTCTGTCTCTCTACCCACCTTGCTTATCGTTTGTATGTTTATGGATGTTTTTTTTTCTGTTTCTTTGCTTTCCTCCTGTAGGTGAGAGAAATACATGTACTAACTTACAGTAGCGTGGTGGTATGCTTCGTGGACTGTGTATCTAATATATTCCCACTGTGTCTAGATGCGTAGTTGCCATGTAATGTCGGGTTTTGAGACCCAGACTTTACGCTCGTGAACTCATTTCCGATACAGGCTGACCGTTACGCAGGAGCTCAAGCGTGTTATTTTATCTCGAAACGGTCGGGGAAGTTTGTAATTTCAAAACTCATGCACTGCCAAGAGTGTTGTCTGTCCACGGTTGTTAGGCCAAACAAAAAAATAGGTGTGTTTCCGGTCGACCGACCGTCCCTAGATTATTAGGGCCGACCCTAAACTTTTTTTTCCAAAAAAAAAAATTTATAAATTTTTGTTTTAAATTTGAAATCTGACAGACAAAACTTGAGATTTTTTACTACAAACACGTTCTGTACTTGCTTACTAACTTATCCCTACCTATACACCACTTTATAGCATGCATCAGAGGGATATTCAGGGGTCAAAATTGGAAAAAAATTCTGGTACTGGGTGCAGTACCAGAACTCAAAATCTGGTATCACGAAAATAATTCTGGTACTGCACAGCAGTTATAATACCAGAGCACTAAGGTTCTAGTATGATAAGTATCGCACACAATAGGCTAGACTAGTTCCAACGTAGCACTCTCCACGCAGACGGTGCTATTTTATGATAATCATGCGCTGATCTATATATATAAACATATCAGTGATGCTAACGCTATTAGCGTTAGCGCAATGTACTCTAGGTACGAGATTTCCAACTTCGCTGCAGGCAGTGGGCGTAGACTGGCATCATTTCGTTTGCATATTCGCATAAATTTTTTAACAAGCGCTGGTTGCCACACTATCTCGCTCGCTATTGCAAATGGCCGCTCGGATGTTATTGTTAATTTCTTACTTGCTTCACCGATTTTATCGGGATTTTTGTTATTTCCACAGCAACAAAGAAAGTTTCGAACGCTTTTGATAAAAAATCTATG